CCCTCAACAGTGTACTTCCTCAGTCGGCCTGTTCTGCTCCCCACTCTGTCTTTGGTGAAGCCTCTCACCGCCCCTGCGCCTCTGGCCTGTACCCCAGTTCTGTATGCACAAATAAATAAATCTTTAAAAAAAGCTGACAAGAGCCAACACAGGTTAGGTGTGAGGGCAAGGAAGCCACCAGCTTCGGGAGGCTGCACAGTGGTGACAGTGATGACTGTGTAGACTGGGTGACACAGAGGGGTCCACACGACATAGAAGACAGTGTGAGGGCCAGGCAGGTTTGCCCCTTACTTGTGGGGAGGACGGGAAGCTTGGGGAGCCTTCGAGAGGAAGTAGGGAGCAGGGAGCAGACCATGCAGACTGATGAAACACACTGCTGAGGGGAGCAGCGGGTGGGTCAGGAGAGGTCTGCGGTGCCATGTGGGTCAGCTCCCTGGCCCGGGATCGAACTCACACTGAAGCGGCTTCGCCTAGCTCCTAGGGCTGCACCCCAACCCGTTGCGTCACCAGGGAGGACCCTCTTGTCTGTTTTGATTGGACCATGCTGACTCCTTGGGCTTTGGTGGTCCAGTACCAGAGCATGCTGAGTGACTTCACGCCTACCCCTTCCCTCCGTGGGTTAGTTTCCACGTCTACACAGAGAGGAAGTCACCAGAGACGCTGGGCTATTCTGAGTTTCTGTAACAGCCTGGGCGCTGCCTGCCTGCCTGTCTGTCTGCTGCAGCTGACACAGGGGTTGGGGGCCTGGGCTGCCTCGGGGGCCACCACTTGTCTGGGCAGCCACACCTGCGGGAACCAGCATCCTCACCCCCTGGAACCAGGTAACTAGTGGTCTTGGGAAACAAAGGAGTGTTTGCAGACTTGGAAACTTCTTTCTTTTCCCAGGGGAAAAGGAGAAACCTCATTAAGCCAAGACAAGAGAATTGGGTCGTGCCCGGATGATGCCAAGCAGGGACTGCCACTGGTGCTGTGAGCGGAACAGGCTATTAAATTTCAGATATAAGAAATCATCTGCTCCCTGTTATCGCCTGATCACTTTATTAGCACAAAAGATAAATTTAAACCACAGACTTATGCAAAAAGAAGTCAGTCTGCATCCTTTCCTAATTAAACTGAGAGAAGCCAGCTAGATCTAAGGACATCCAGCCCACTCAATTAATTAACATTTATTACAATCAGAAAACAATCTAATTCAATTAAAATGTTTCCACAAAAGTAGTTTAATGACTTTCCCCAAAATAAAGTACATTCAACTGGAGCGTTTATTATGCCAGACTTAAGTGTCCCAGGGAAGCTGAAACGACAGCCATGATGTGGGCTGCACGCTCTGCTGTGGGTGAGGCCGGGGTGGGCAGGGACGGCTGGGCCCCAGGCACAGAGGGAGCGTCTGGACACCATGACTGTGACCAGCAATGAGCCAGCTGACCCTGATCAGGGAAGCTGCCCATAGATGCGCAGATGCCTTCATTCTCACCCGCACTTCCTGCTGAACCCCCACCCTTCTAAAGGATGGAGAAGGGGCAGGCAGCTGAGAGGAGGCTTGTGTCAGGGCCGGGCCCATCTCTGCCTCCAAAGAGTTGGTCGCCTTGGGCATGTGGGAGGTGTTCAGAGAAAGGACTGTGAGCTGGGCTTTCTGAAATATAGCCAGGGGATATTCAGAAAGCTGGAGAAACTGTCAGGTTAGAGCTGCGAGCAGTTTTCTGACTCTTGGGAGGCAGAGATTTGAATCCACAGTGGCTTAGTTTGGCAAAAACTTCTTGTGGGTCCTGAGTCATAAAACCAGAAAGCCAATACCCACTTGGAGTTTGTCCTTTTGAGTGAACAGTATCTGAGCATGTATAGTTGCCATGTTGCTGGATCCTGTTCTTTAATCCCACAGTGACCTGTAAGAAACAAAGCTTCAGGGAGTGGGGAGCCTGACTCCAGACTCCGGCAGAGAGGGCTCTGGCAAACTTGGAATAATAATAATAATTGGGGAATTTGTAGGAGGGGGGCCTGAATCACTGGACCCCGGGTGCTCTGAACTTGGACACGTCCTCATGCACTTCCCATCTACCGGGGTCACACCTTGCTGACACCAAGTTCAGCTGTGGCCTCAGAAAAAGGACAGGCTGAACTAAGTCCCTTCTGATCCAGTTCAAAACTGCACCTGCCTTGTCTGAACCATACACCTTCATCAGCTCTGAGCGTAAGCTCCCAAAAGACCCTTGTTGACCTTGTGGGCAGGAAATGGGATGCCAACAATGTGATCTCAACTAACACAGTGAAGGATGGCAGGACTGTGGAACCTTCTGGATGGTATCAGCGGGTCAATTTCAGTTTCCAGATTTTTGACTATGAATATACATCTTTCATAATCTCAAAGAGCGACGAAAATGCTGTTTAGATAGCCCATCTTAGTTTTTCATTTCTCTTATTTCTAGAAAGGTCAAATTTGGATTACTCTGAGATATCTGTTTCATCTACCTATTGACATTTGGTGTTCTCACCGATTTGTATAAATTCTCTATAACTAAGGATTTTAACCCTCTGTTCATTTTATTTTTTGAAGTTATTTTCCTGGATGTTTACTTACTTTTTAATTTTGCTTCTAAAGTTTTCAGCCAATGAAGGTTTACCACCTTTATGTTGACAAACCTATTGAGCTTCTTCTCAGATGCCTTTTAACTTAGAAAGTCCTTTATCATCAAGAGATAAAACACACATCGACTTAACATTCTCCCGGTGTTTAGGGCTTCTTTTCTTTTTCCTTTCTTTTGCAGCCTGTGGCTCTTTCATCTGTCCAAATTCATTTTGGCTTCCAGTATGCAGATTAATTATCTTCACCATTGGTACCAGCACCTCTTATTGGATAAGACTTTCCTTTCCATTCAGTGCCATCTTACACATTCTGTTTTATAGATAGTAAGTTTTGTTTTCAGGTTCCCTATTCTGTTACATTGACTTGTTTTTTCTTGAACTTGTATCACACTGCTGTATTGAATGTCGTTATTGATCATTGCTTTTCATGTTTAAATAACCCCTCAATTTCAACAATTGCTGGTTTTCTTTCACCCTTTTATTCTTCCAAGGAACTCTGAGGGCCATTTTGTAAAGGTCAAAAGAAAAAAAATTAAGATTTTTAAAATTTCAATTTCACTAACATAGCCAAGACTCAATAGGGGTTTTTCTGTCCAACCCAAAGACTCATCTGCCTTTCCGTCTACGCTGATGGTTTTTAGCAGTTTTGTGCTACCTCAGCTTTCATTGTTTGGCTATTCCTGCAGGCCTATGGCTGATGGCCAGGGAAATAGAAATATAAAGAAGAAATTCACATCTATGTGTATATGGGTTATATACACATAGCAAGAGAAGTGGCCTTTTAAATGTTGTGTCTGGGCCCTCCCTGGTGGTGCAACAGGTCAAAGCACAGCACTGTGACTCTCTCGCAGCCACTGTAGCACAAGTTTGATCCCTGCCCTGGAGGTGACCCACATGGCACAGCAGACCTCTCTTGACCTGCCTGCTGTTCCCCTCAGCAGTGAACTTCATCAGTCTGTCTGTTCTTCTCCCCCACTCTGTCTCTGGTGAATCCTCTCACTGCCCCCCACACACCTCTGGCCTGTCCCACAGTTCTTGTAGCATTCCAGCTCAAGTGCAGGTTGGTGTGACAGCTGTGGACAGACCTGTGGTGAGCTGAGAGCTCACTGTGCCCTCCTATGCCCTATCCCTGGGGTCCCCTCATACATTGCAAATTCTTTAGCAGTCCAGTAGCCCTCCACCTTGCTCAAGATAGATGACCAGGAAATCTCTGCCTTCTGGTTGGTTCCATGGATCTTTCTGAGCATGTGCATATCAGGGATCTCAGGGAGTTAGGAGCCATGCCCGAGCCAGCTGTTTCCACTCAGAGGTTTGCCAATTTGAGAGTTGGATCTGCGCAACTGACTCCTCCTAGACACCCCCACCAACCACCCTGTGTGAAATCCAATTTTTAAGTTTCAACTGGGATCACCCGGAGCTGCTCTTACACAATCTGCAATCCCTATTTGCCAACTGCATTTCTTGGCCCCTAAGGCGCTAATGAAGTTCCTTCCAACAGAACACAGGCTCACTTAAATGGAAGACGATTTGCTGGGCCTTGGGGAGCAGGGCGGAACCCCTGGAGCAGAGCAAGCACGGTCACAGCCCCAGGCACGGAGAGCTCTGCTACCAGTTAATTCAAAGTAGAAATCAAAACACTCTGTGGCTGGGTTGGAAAGTCAGACTGCAGGCAGGCACGGAAGCCAAGGGCCCCGCCAGTGGTTCATGGCTACTGGGCCACCAGGACCTAGGAGGGTGGTATGGCTAGGCACCTGTGGGCATTCCAGGAGGGCTCCCCTCTGGGTGGGGTGGAGAGAAAATAGGGTGATATTCTCTCCATTTACACCAAAGGACAGGAACTTGGGGTTCTTTGGGCTTTCTGCCTGGGTCCCACACCTGGGCCCAGGTGGGCCATCACGTCATTAGAACACTTGACAGTCCAACCCAGTGCCCTTCACCAGTGACCTTGTGAACTTGCAGCCCCGATTGCCCACTCCTTTCTTTGGTTCATTCCCAGAAGCCAGTATGTGGGGCTCATAATCGGAAGGGGGGGGGGGTCCTGCTCCTCACCAGCAGCAGGCTGAGCCTGTGTTCAGGGACCCCTGGCTCTGTGACTGATCCTTCCTCCTGGGCCCATGTGACACAGAACATGAGGTTCATAGTAATCTGGGTTCTGCCTCCTTGCAAAAACAAAATGCTGGCGACCCATTTATGGATAATACCTTAAACAACATGCCTACAAACTCCAGAGTGCTTGCTAGTGGAGAGGTGAAGAAACTGGGCTGAAGAGTGTCCACTGTCGGGATGTAGCCTCTAAAATTCAGGTTAAACAGTCTACACATTTGTACTTTCATCTGGCGAACAGGCGGGAGGCTGTGCGCCGATTGGCCACCAGGGGGCAGTCGCATCCAGCAAACCTCTGCCTCCTGTGCTCCAGCACCGCCCAAGCCCCCGCTTTCTTTGGGGCCTCCTTCTCAGGTTAGGAAGAGATGAAGCGGACTTTTCGTCCAGGGCCCAAGACAGAATTTATCCTGTGGAACAAGACACAAGCGTGTCTGTCCCAGATCTAGCGTGGTCAGTGTGGGAGAGTCACTGAAAAGACAAGCGCTTGTTTCTTAGTGTATATTAAAATGAATTTATTTACACAGTAACATGATGCCACAGAGAAAACAGCAAAGTACCACAGCAAACCAAAGGGTGGTGCCTTCTGGTGACAGAGGGGACCTTTCATACAACGCTAAGTGGAGAAATGAAGTTCCAGGAAAGGGGCATGAGGAACAAGATTTTCCAATAGAGGGCGTGGTCAGAACCATGGGGCTGACAACTTGGAATGAGGACGGCCATGATTCAGGTCGCTGAGGAGGGCAGGGTTTGCCCCTTGATCTCAGCCAAATGCCCTGCAACATCATCAGCAGAAACCCCAACTAGCGTGTTCACATGTGACACCGTAAAACTGGCAAGGGAAGGATCACCAAGGGGAATTTGGAACAAGTTTCCTGAAGTAGTGTGGCTTAGCTTTCAAAAATGCTACCCTGAAGCCATAGGCTGATTCAACATTCAAGTCATCAAGAGTGCACAAACACACAGTACTTCCACACACTAGTCCGGCAAAGTGGATCTTCTGTAATACAGTAATATTTGTAGTAAAATATATGACTCTGTACTTCTGCTAGGTTAAAAAAATTCCCGACCTCTTTTGATTCCCTGAAACTTTCTTGATTTAAAAAAACATGGGGGTGAGTGGGATGGGTGAAGGGGAGATGCTGGAAGAAACATGAAGCTCTCTGGAGTGGGAGACATCTAATGAAGTCTGGAATGCAGTCCCTGCACCACCTGGGAGGGGAAAGCAGTGGCTGATGCAAAAACTTACTCTGACTTCATACAGCTGCAGAGAGAGGGTGTTAACAGCGGGATAGCACCTTGTACATTCTGGGCACTTACGATGGTGACGATGAGTGGTAAACACCTTGGTAGGAAGGTTTATAAAAAGTATTACAATTGGTTAAGAAATTTCCCAAGAGTTCTTAAACAAACTCATTGAAACTACCATGTCTCTTAACTGAAAAAACCCTCAGCTTTCAGTATCACCTGGACACGTTGTCTCCAAGCTTACGGTTCAGCAACAGCCACAGTCAAGGGAGAGGGAAGGGCTCCTTCTCCTTACATGCCGAGGAACTTTACAACGCGCCCAGGCTTTTCTCGTCTTTCCCCCCCTCTAATGCAGGAAATGGACTGTTTTTAAAAAAGGTGCTTTTGGAGGATGGATTATTTGATCAGCGTGACATGGAATGTATGTGAGTTCGCCTCCCGTGGCATCTGCCGTAAGTCAACCTCATCACTGTAGAAGCGTCAGGATCAAAGGCTTGATTTCTTTGGTATCATCTCTATCTAGGACCTTGCACGGCAGCTCCTCTGCGTCCCCATGGCATTGTTTTTGGTCCGCGGAACCCCCTTGTTTGGTGCCGCCGTGAGCATAGACAGCTGGACTTTGTGGATTTATCTCGGCACAGCCTCTGGGCCTTTGAGAATCTCAGCTCCAATGAGGTAAAACTAATAACCCGGCTTCACTGGCAGCCCTCCTGCTCACCCATTAAACTGGACCAGAATTTTCAATCCTTATCAACTAGTGAGGGGAATAAAACATTATTAGAGCTGGCCCAGCCAGTCAAGTTCTTTTCCTCTCTCCAAGTATCTTCATGCTTTATACATTTAGAACCACTTGGGCTATATAGTGCAGTATCCCAAGTCTATCCCAGTTACTGGCACTAGCTTGTGTGTTTTTGATCTCTGGTGGTGAAATCTAGGGGAAAAAAATCTAGTTGGAGGTTACCAGCAAAACCAAGTCAGGTTACATCTCAGCACCAGAGTATTCTTAATTCAGATTTGGGAAGAGTACAATATTTCTCTGCCCCAATTTAGCAGGCCGCAAAGATTATACGTGAACATTTTACACGGCTAGAAACATTAAAATACAATTCTAGTTTTGCCACCAGAAAGAACACTAGTACTTCTGGAGGTTTAGCTCTCAAGGCTTAGAATTTTCCCTGTTCACGAACTTATTCTGAATTCAGAAGCAAAATTGGCCTACACTTAATCTGACAATGTAAGGTTACAGAAACGCTTCAAATCCCAGTGTGTTTTAAGCCCCTCAGTATCAGTAGGTTAGGTAGTGTGGGTACATGCGCCCCTCTCTGTGCCTCACCCAGTTCATTTTCCGAGGGCCAAACTTGAACCCCATGGCCATGCTGCTGGCCCTCTAGTTCTAATTTGGTCTAGGGTTTGGTGGGCCAATCCGTGTTTCTTTTGCTGTTGATTCCACAGGTTATAACTGCTCTTGTTCCCATCCTGTTTTATTCATCATGAACTCACTTCCAGGCATCATAGCTGTGTTAAATGCACCCAAGGGGTTGTCCCAGGCTAGCATGGGAGACTTCTCCCAGTCCGCCGTGTGAAACATCTGCTTCTCTCCCTCAGACACGAGGCCATCACCCTAACAAGGCACTCTGCCATACATTCAGTCTGGGTCTTGGCTGCGCCAGCCACTACCCTGTTTCCCTAGCACTCACACGTGTTAGAGAGATTGTTCTCATGTGGCTTAAGGAGAAGTCCCAATAGTGACTTAACTGTCCAAACTCTCAATATTAAATGGAAGAATCTATATTCCATAGAGTTCTATTGAAGTCTGTAGAATAGGAAAAAAAAATTCAGTCAATATTGAAGACAATAACTTGATGTTACTTGAGGAAACTTAAAGTGCTACACTAGTCACAATCAAAACTCATATATATATATATGTATAGAGAGAGAGAGGGAGGAGAGAGATAAATATGTATGTCTATCTGTGTCTGAAGGTAGGATTTCTTTCCAGTTGATAAATGACTCAAAGGCCTTACAAAAATTGAAATGGAAATTTAAAATATTTGTGGTATCAGACTGACATAATTTCATTATTTTGGGAAAATATTCTGAGGCCCATCTGATGTGTACTTCTTGCCTAGGCAATTTATTCTGCTTCAACTTGTTACACCTGCTTCCCTCCCTACCTCACATTCCTTGGCTCACTCAGAGAAAAACTAATCTAGCCCCTGTTTCTGGGAACCTGAGACAACTTCTCTATTTGGTAGTCACCTGTGCCCTTCACACATCTTAATATAAGGACAGTCTAAAGCCATCTGTTGTGAAGAGGTGCCTGGCTCCAGGACAGTGGGACTATGGTAGTGGAGGGTGTCTGTGTGTGTAACACTAGAGAGCTAAAGTGAAGACTGAACCCAAGTCAAAACAGGAAGAAATAGAAAGGACACTGAGAGAGCAAATAGAGGGGCCAGGGGGTATTCTTCATTAAATAGGACATCTCACTAAATAGCCAACATTCAAATGTACATGGGCAAGGCACCACGAGAGTGACATTGAGAAAGTGTCTCAATGTGCAGGCCATGGGGGCGGGGGCGCTGGCTGGCATGTTCTGGGGCCTGTGTGCTGCCATTCAGTGTATAAGCAGGCCGGGCTTATGTGCACAGGGCCAGTGCTCAGTGAGCCTGATCACCAGCGTGCTAGGCGAGGTGTGGCCATGCCGAGGGACAGTGACAGGGTGGCCTGCTGGCCAGCAGCACCAGGCCCACCCTGTGGCTGTCCCTGGGCGCAGAGCCCTGCTCTCTAGCTCGAGGAGCCCAGACTGTGGCCAACCAGCTCTCTTCCCTGGACTGCTGGCCAGGAGGACAAGGGGAATCCTCCATTGGAGCCTCACATGTCCCATTCTCTTAAAACAAGGAATAAAAGCACGATAAAATACATTCTTCTCCTTTCGTAATCCTCTTCAATATATGCGAATCACGTGAAAAGCTGTCAAATTTCTAAAATTTTCTAAAGGTTTAGAAATTTCCAAAAGGCCACTAATGTGCTAGGTAATACTGCACAATCAGTTTTGACTTTAAGAGACTCTATGGTGGTGACGAGGGGCTCAGGGCTCCCTCACTGATGAGGCAAAGAGAACATACCCATCAGCCTTGCCACAGGCGGCTCCCCAAGGCCCGGCCTCTTCTTGCAGCACATACATGTGCGTGCACACACGAGCGTGCACTCGTGCCATCTGAGTGACTCTTGGGATTTCAAGGTTGAAGTAAACAGATACTCACAGTTTTTGAATAAAGCAAGCGTGCACACACACACACGTATACACACACTCTGGTGGAAGGAACACTCATCTCTTAGCGCAGATATGTGCCAAGGGAAGAAGGGGCAGGTTTCTGTAGATCTTGCTTCAGGTGAAGTTGCAACATAAACACTGTAATATACAGCTAAAAAAAAATACATACAAAAAATTGCACATATATCCACGGGCCCCACGCATGGTGAGTGGCTCTCAGCAGCCCCCTCAGCCATTTTATTTCCTGGGAGCTGACCTCCAGAGCTACTGGGGAGCTCCTGGGAGCAGCCTCTGTGGGGAAGGTGGACAGCTGGGAGGAGTGTGAAGTCTCAACAGCCACCCTGGACCCCCCCTGGCCACCCACCAGCCAGCAGAACCTGGCCTTTGTCAGGGTTCTTCGTGCTCAGATGACAGCTGTGTCATCCAGGCCTGCTGCCACAGCACTTGGTAGACTAGTTAACACCGACCACTGAGGCAGGGAGCTGGCCAGTAACTCCCAGGTGGGGACCTGTGATCTGGGTGTCACCAGCCCTGGCTGATGAGGCTGACAGCTCTGACAGTAATCGAAGTAGGAATTTATACTCTAATGGCCCCTGGAGAACTTCACATGCAGCAAAACCACCCCCTTGTCTCCTCTCAGCCACTGTATGAATGGCACTCCACCCTGTTGAGTGCTGGTGACATTACTGTGTGGGTCACCTCTGTCATCACCACAGTGGCTGCTAAACCCAAACTTCACTGGCGAGTGGGGACAGAGTAGAGGTGAGAGAGTACCAGGCAGTGACAGCAGAGGGACGCTGTTAGGGCCATCCTCCATGCAGTACACACGCTTATCGATGACAGAAATGGGAACGTGAAGACTGGTCTGTGCCCCAGAAGCTGGGCTCTCGCCGTAACTTTGTACTGTCTGCTGGCACAAAAAGATCTCGTCCCCAGAACCAAGAAGGGGCTATGCTAAGTGGGGCAGTCCTGCCTGGAAGAGTCAGTTATGATACTTGAGAGGAGGAAGGTCTGTTGTGAGAACTTACAGGATACAACAGTAAGGGTTGGTTAAATCTGTCTATTGCTAGTCGGAATAAATACTTGGTGTTAAAATGATGGGAGATATTTGGATGCGGAGGAACTGGACACAGCTCAGCGAGTCACGTTAAAGGAGCAGTCCTTTCAAAGATGTGCATTTTCATTGTTTACTTGCATCTGTGGTATACTTGGGGTTGGGGGGGGTTCCAATGGAAGGTAACTGCACATTGGTGCGGTTGAATTTCTGCAACGTTCAGACAGACTGAGTGTCTCACTCAAGCTGGAGCTGTGGCTAACCTTTCTGAGGAGATGGAATTGTTCATGGTCAGTGGCAGTCTCTCTCCTCTCCTTGAATTCTGCACGTCGGGAGGGGAGGTGTGTGGGTGGCTTGATGATGATCAATGAAATGAGAGCAGCACTGGGGCACGTTAACGGTGTTGTAGGATTTTCACAATGCAGCTGAGGGAGTCTGGAGTGGCAAAGGCCAAATACTGAGCACAAAGCCAGTCCTCCAGGCCAACCCCCACCTCCCTGTCCAGGGACTTCTCAGCAAATTTGATCATTAACAGGGTTCGCTTGATGTCCAGCCAGTTCTGGAGCAGGGTGTTCCTCTGGGCTGGGCTGGGGGAGGTGGTGAATGTCTGGAAGAGATCTTCCCGGGGGCCCCAGAGCAGGCACTGGAGGATGCCTCTAGCATCTGAAATGAGGATCCGCTCAGAAGGGTTGGGATTCAGGAGGCAGCTGGCCAGCTGCTGCAGGCCCCGGGAGTAGGGGGAGCGGGAGGGGATGCGGGGCAGGTCTGCCCGTGTGTACTCCTTCTCCTTCAGCTCTGGGTTCTCGTCGAAGGGGTTGGGCAGGTGCAGCATCTCGTAGATGAGGATGCCAGTCTGGAACTCATCGCACTTCTTGTACTGGGTGGCTGTTATGATCTCTGGGGCGAGGCGGGACTGGTCCCGGAGGATCTCGGGGTCCACCAGATGGCTCTTCTGCCTGGCCTGAGAGAAGTTGCTTACTATGAGCCTTGTGGGGCAAGATGAGGCAGGACTGGGCTCAGCAGGCCGAAGGCCCTGGGCAGTGCTGCCTGGCTGGTAGTGGACCAGCAGCAGGTTCTCCAGGCGCAGGTCACAGTGAGTGACATGGTAGGGTTTGAGGTGCTCGAGGCCAGAGCACAGCTGGAGGAGCAATAGACACACCTGTCTCTCGTACAAATCTGGGCTTTTCCCATGTTGAGCCAGCGAGTCTCGCACAAAATCGGCCACGGTGAGACAGGGCACCTCTCTGGTGATGACCACGACGTGGCTTCTCTGCTTCCTGCTAAGGACACCCTGGCTGGCTTTCTGGGACAGCTCTGTTTCAGAGCAGGGCTCCGGGCTTTTCTCTTCCGTTTCTCCTTTCCTCTCTTTTTCAGCTGCTTCCATTTCATCCTCTTCCTCTTCAAGAGCATCAGGATCCTCCCAGGGGAGCAGGCGGTTAGGTACTTCAGCAAGGAAATGACCACAGTCCTGCTGGATGTTAAAATGGACAGCTAGACTCTGCCGGACAGCCAAGCTGTGATAATACTGCTGAGATTCTTTAGCTTTGCTCTTACAGATCTGAAAAAGGAAAGCAAATAACAGTTGAAGACGCACATTTTCATAAGCAGGCTCATGATGTACAAAGGAGGATTAAGTGGAAGGCGGCTGGTTGGGAAGAGTGATGGAGTGATATCTGGAGAGAAGGTTTCATTGCCCTCTGTGAATGACAGTGACAATGGCAGCGACCATTTCTCATGGCTGTCCACATGCTTAGCATCTAATGTGCATTATCGTTAATCCTTACAGTAACCTTTCAAATGAGGCTGAGGATTTAAGAATCACCAACAAAGAGAAAGCCCAGGACTATCAGTTTGCAAACCGAGCTGTCTATCAATAAAGTTTGCTCTTTCCACTATACCCTGGACCTCATCTAGAAAACAGCACAACAAAAGTAATTTTTTACCTGCTTTCTGTGATGACTTATAGCCCAGAATTATAGAACAATGTAGGTCAGAATATCTTATTAGCCCAGAACTGTGACATATGATTGGCTGGGTAATCTGTGGGGTTCCCTAACTTTTCAGTGAGTATCATTATTCTGACAGTCACACACGGGCACTCACTGCCAGGGTCACGGAACTGACCTGACCTAGTCAGGGCTAAACCAAGCTTCCAGTGGAATTTCATGTTCTCTCTTTCTGCCTCACTTGAGACAGGCAACAGGCCTTTCTGGGAGACTTTATTAAGTGGTTATAGGGCAAGAAATTAGTTTTTTCTTTTGGGGGGGGGTGTATATCAGAAGTACATTATTTTAATCTTTGGTAGAAAAGAAAACAAATAAATAAAATCCCTCCTCAATGGATCTCTCTCTCGAGATACAACGTGGAAAAGCTGACATCTCATAGCCGGCGGCAACTGGGACCAGACGAGCGCTGCTCCACCACCTGCCGACTGCAGGCCAGTGTCTGCTCTCCCGAGACCAGAGGTGGGTGCTGCCCTGCTCTGCAGCTGTGCAGGGCTCTCAGCTGCAGCCCCCTCTATGGTGTCCTTACTGCTTGCTTGTTGCAGTAATACAGGAGAGAAGTTCAGAAGCATTTTTAGTCATTTTTATTTAAAAAGGAAAATGTGCATTTTCTTAGAAGGGTGCCAGAAGGCCTCCAGTGCTGAGGAGCAGCATATTCTGATTTTCACTCAAATAGGTATTAAAAGAGAGAGAGAAAGATCAAGGCAAAGGTGTGTCAGGTTTAGTGTGTTCCTGTTGTATTGTTATGACTGATACTAGTGATAATGGCATAGAAACCAGTCTACTTTGCTCTCTCCAACTCATTCAATCCTCTACTTATATATCTACCTACATAGAAATTTTTTTTTTCAATTCTTCTACCACCCATATCATCAGTTTGAGGGCAAACTAAGTATTTCTTCCTTAAGGAAACTTCTAGTCTTGAAACAGAGCTATCCTTTCACTGAGTTTAAGTTCAAATACACATCTTTCAGAAAATATCATCTTTGGAAAGATGATAATAAATGATAAATATCATCTCTCAAAGTTAACACTTATATAAATAATCCTATATTCCCATAACACAAATTCTTTCTGTCCTGTACTTTTTGGCAATATTTCATACTTATGTGTCACCAGGTACTTTAAAACCATCTACCAGTCATCATTTAGTTGTGTAGGAGCTGGATCAGGGCATGGCACCATTTTCAGTTTTAATAGTTTGCTCACTATCATACTGCCTGTTTGGACTAGAAGTTCAAAGGTTCCAACTCCTCAGTCTTCGAAAGTCAATCAAATACCACTGTGTGCAGGTGAATGAGAGTGTGTGTAGTTGAATTCCAGCTGTTAAGGAATATTGGACATTCACCAAGGACCACGGAGGCCTGAGATTTCGCTCTGCCACAAGCTGTATAGTCTCGGGCATTTCACTTAATTTCTCTGTCCCTCAAAAGAGACTATGTAAAGAAGAGTGAAATTTACTTGATAGAGCAGCTGTGAGGATGTACTGAGAGCAAGTATACATAGTATATTGTAAACTGCAAAGATGTACAATGTAATACTGATAATGACCAACCAAAACCACAATCTGCAATGTTCCAAGTGATGCACTATTGTGGATTCCTTCAATTTTTTCCAGCAAAGAGAAGTCAGAAAAATGTATTTTTCTTTGGAGTCTTAAGAGCACTTGTCATAGCAGTGACCATAGGTTTGGCATGGGGCAGCTAAAGAGGGGCCACTGAAGTTGTTGGTGGTGACTAGGTGCTGCGGTAACACAACTACCAGTGGGACTAGTGGGGGGCACAGCGATGAGTCACCCCTTTGGAATGTGAACCTAGAATCTTTTCCCCAACAGCACTGGCAGCAGCTGCGGACCCCACCCTAGGGGCTCCATCTCAGCTGCTGCCCGGGAGCAATAAACTCTGTTTGCTCAGCCTCTGCCTCCTGTCTTTCTTTCTCGCAGCTGGTCACAGAGGCTGCGACAAAACAGAAGTCAACCTCTAGGCGAGGGTCAGCCCTGCCAAACAAGTCAGCAGTATGTCTGATCCAAGATAGGCCAACCTAAGGCTAAAGAGAGAGAGAGACAGAATTATTTGACCAATCTGCAGTTTTCAGTCTACCAACTGCAGTGGAAAAAAAAAAAAAAAAGAGCTTGCCACTTTGGGGTTTGACGTCAGAAGCAGAGAAGACAATTGTGACCACTATTCTAATTGCGATATTTTAGTTGTCTCCACACACACAGCTTTATAAGGGTCCCCAGAGCTCTGTGAGTAGATAAGAACACAGACAACTACAACAAGAATTTATGTTCAGCTTCACAGATCAACTTGAGATAAACGTTTGGAGTGATTTACGAAGAAGAAATGATAAATTGTTCAGCCATTTTGGATGCTCCAAAGGAAAATGGCCTGCCAGATAGCCAGCCCGAGTGGGTGACACTCCTTATCACTTCATTTTATAATATGTAGACAAGCTGAAGAAAAATGGGTCACCCTTGTTGTGAGGGAAAAGGAGAAAGGAAGAAGACTGGAATGTGAAAGAGGGGAGAAAACAGTAAGGGCTTTTAATTGGTTCATATCTATGAAAACATTTACAACCAAAACACGAAGCCATAGAGATTTCCATAATAGGATTTCTCACATGACAAGTAGCTCATAAATCTTTATTATGGAGGCTGTGATGATATACATGTAGGTAGGAGTACTGTATTATTCCACATACTATAGAGTAACCATTTTTCAAATATTAATAACTTGACTCCTTTGGTTTTTTAAAAAACTTCAAACGATCTGACTTCAGATGATAAATTTCTATAGTCCAAAAATTATTTGAGAGAACAAGTCCCTCTTTCCAGGCAATGGCAAGGTCCTGTTCCGGCTGCTTTTCCTTCTTTCCTTACCCAATTATTTTCTCTATTAGGGATTAAAGTAACCTCTTCTTGGCCTCCCATCTTATCTCTCCTGAAAGGAATTCACATTTCTTCTTTAAAAGGGGTTGCTGGCTTGAATTTGAGGGATCTCAAAAAAGAGTCCATTCCTCAGAAAGGAAAATTTCCAAGGACTCCTACACCCCTTCAAATTTTGAAGCAGGCACAAAGCTGAAGCTGGAGTGTCCAACATGTTTGTGTAAGATTCCCCTTTCTAATAGAAGGGAAATCATCTCATATTTGTTTTGATTATGTATGGGAAAATCCACTTGAAATGCTGCCAGGTTTGCAGATTCTGCACTGTTGCAGTGACATTTTCTGAATGGGAAGAAAAACCCAGGAGAGCCTGAGTGGCAGCGACACTAGAGGGAGCTGTGATACCAACACCCTGGAGCCACTTACGTAAACCACACAGCAAGAACAAAACCAGGATGGGAAGGTCGGCTCCTATAAAATGTGCCCTTGGTTTTTCCTGGACACATTTTAGGCCCTACAAAGGTGGCAATGCCAAATTCATGCAAAGGGATGCTTCATGCGAAGAGCACAGCAGGCAGGAATGCCCTCCCTGGGCACAGAGCCTTTGCCCTCTTGCCCATTCTCACGGCTCGCCAACCTGGGCTGCTGCTTGAGAGGAAGCCAGAAGAACATCGATAGGGACCATCAGTCAGCTGTTAGTCACACACCCACCGTGTGTGGAGAAACACACCACATAAAAAGGAGGCTGGAAGGGAAATCGAGTGCTTGTCTCAGTTAATAGAGATGAGTGAGGACAAAGGAGGGGGAGAAATATTGATTCCTATCAATTGAGCACTGAAACCACTGCTGGCTCTTCGGCATTTCCCATTTGTAGGAGACCACGTTCTGAAGCAATATAGCCAGAACCCCAAATATAGTGGGTTGGGGATCTCTTAACCACTGCTAAATAATGTTGGTAAATAGGGAAAAACATGTTTCTGGAACCAGAGCCAAATTACCCTCTTGTGAGAACCTCTGAGACCGACCCAGGACAAGACATACACATAGTCACACACGTACTCATGCCTGATCTTAGTGGTGAAACAGTCTGACAACGATTCCTCACACACAACCTGAAAAGTCAAATTCCAAACATTCATTTCAGTACAGGGGCTCATTTTCTGTGTTGCTCATGGCAACTGCTCTGCATACCTTTGAGGCAAGCATGCCTTTACAAAGCAAGTGTGTTTATAATAATGATCTCAACCTAGACAGCTAACCTTTAAAATGGAGGATGTGGAGGGGGGAGAGGCTTTTACTATTATACCCCATTAAACATAGATGAGACAGAGAAGAGAGTATTGTGTGTCTAACTCTACTGACCCTTTCAGAATGGCTATGAGCCTGGGACCTGTTAAGAGGAGGTATGCCTTGCCACGCTTTTCAATATCGGCAGTGGAAGAGAAATTGTTTTAGGCTACACAGCAGGAGGTGGAGGGAGGCAGGGGTGGGGTGGGGAGAGATGCACTTGTGGTAAAACAGGGTGGCACGTCCATGAGACGAATCAGTTGTTGGATGGATGGATTATCCATTCTTTACTTGACCCTTCCCACCAAATGACCCTTGTAGGGTTTGGATAGAGGATGGGGTTCTGCTCTCTTGTCCACTTTCCCCATTGACATCAACAAGCTCCTG